TGAGCAGTGTCCCCGAACTTTTTAACTGATGCAGAAGCAAGGAAAGCCACGTGCTGGAAGTTATATTAGGGTTATACCTGGGAAACGCAAGGTCTTTCCATTCCAAAACGCAAGCAGTGGAACATCAGAGTGGATGTTCTTGGGAACAGAAAGCATCTCAACTCGACAAAAAATGAAAGATTTGTTCACAATTCACTAAGACTTCAATTTAGTGTTCTGTTTCCTTGCAGTGATAAAACTACTTCAGAACTGGAGAATAAATTAGATCAACTATATTTTGTAACAAAAATACAATGGAATCGGGGCCTTTAAAATCATAGCTTCTTAAACGGCAACACACAATCAGCAGTAAATTGTTTAGCTTTCTATTGCTCTGGCTATTCCCCAAACCCAGCTGCTCAGGAAAAAAAATACTTGAACAAATTAAAGCGTCAGGTAGCTTTCCCTGCTAAACAGAGCTTGATTAAATCATCTTTTCTATATGAATTTAAAATGGCTGCTTTAACAGTGACCTGTGTATGCCCTGGCCAACCTGTACCACTATTTTAAAAAATGAACTGATGACATTAGAAGAAAATAAGTAGCTCCAAGCCTGAAGCATGGTATCCATCATAATAAATGTTACCTTTAAACACAGATATATCCATTTGTGCCAACATTTTTCCATGACACCATATAACTTGTTTCTAACAGCTCCAAGAAGTTTTTGGTACCCCCATAGCTTGTTGGCATCAGTGGTAATTACAGTAGGATATAGCCTGTAATAAATAGACAAAAATAGCTGCACACCAAGCAGTATTGCATTACACAAAGGAAGCATGTGTTAGATTAGAGAATATACTTAGAATAATTTTTCCCTGTTCCAGGAACAGTTTTGCTGTTATGAATCTAGGCTTGTTTATACCACCTAAAACAGTAACTCCAAGTTTAAGGCTTCCATGTTCAGAGATGCCAATTCACCACATACCCGGACCAGCAGCCAAATATACGAGTCTCTCCTCATCCCCAACTCTGGCTATTAGATTTTCCACCAGGAGGTAAAGTCGAGATAAAGTCAAGATAAAATGCAGTCCCAAAGCAAGGTAGGGTATATTCTTCCCATCAGACATTGGACATAAAAGACTAATTTAGAGTATCCATAATTCATCACAATTTTGGGAGGGTTCTGCAGCAGAGAGGGGAAAATATATACCAGATGTAGTGAGCTCTGTAGCGATTAACCAAGCATCTTAAAGCTGTTACAAAAAGGCACATTAGCAAGAAGATGCATTACAAGCAGTTCACAGAAGCTGCCTTGTAGGGTCACCTTATTTCAAACTGTCAGATCAAGTCACCTACAATTTCCCCTTTCAGTGGAAGTCAAATAGAAAGTGTTAAATAAAGAACGCCTACTCTGGATCCACCTTAGTTTTAAAACAAGGTAGATTTGTCACTTTGGGAAATAGCTGTTTAGTTCCCAGCAGATTAGACCTGAATACTCAGTTCTGCTGCTCTTTGCAAGTTAGTATATGGAAAATTTACTTCCCCCCCCGAGCAGATTCAGGCATGGAGCAAATACAACATTCTCCATGTCCAGAAAACACTGTGAGCTAGACGAACAAACTTCACGTATGTAGGTCAGAGCAGATATTCAGACATGGGCTGCATGACACACAACAATCTTGCTGTTCCCAGCTGAGAAAGCCCAGAGACTGTAAGCGCTGTCTGTTCCTTTATAGGCGTGTGTGATCTCAATAAGACTGATTTTGACAATGCCATCAATCCTTGTTCCACGTGAGCTCACCAGCCCATACAGCACCTTTGTGTACAAGAAAGCTTTCAAGACAGATATTCTTATGAAACACTAGTGATGCAAGTTAATGCACCACTGCAGTTAGGAAACAAGGGATTGTCATTTCCAAAGTAGCACATGCTGCAAAAGTTAGAAGGCAGGTATTGGACAAACAGGCGACACTTTGAAGTAACGAGAACCAGCCAACTCCCTTCAACTTCAGGAAGAACCATTCATTTAAGCTGCCTCTCCCAGATCCTTATACTCAGATGCAGCCAATCAGCAAATCTTCTTGACCAGTCGCACTAAATGCATGGTTAGCCTTAAAATGCTGTCTGTAGTCTTTGTGGGGCACATCCCTTGGGACAACGGACAATACATAACGTTATAGATTAGTTTCTTGGCCAGAGGCAACCCGATTCTCTCAAACTCTTGCTCCGATTCATCTTGCGCGGTGACATTCCAGCTGCAGATTTAAAACACAGTGCAACGCTTGTACACGGCAGTTGTCACATCTGGGTGGAGGAAGTTGCCTAATGAAAGGGCCTAATTAGCTGGACGATTGGAAATGCCTATTGCTGCCCAAGTCAGCGCTATCTGGGGAGACAGGATATTTATACTAGACAGACCATGAGACCGATTCATGATGGCACGTTTTATGTTCCTATAAAGCACCCCTTGGACCACTCAGCTCTGCTTCCACCTAGACCTGAAAGCACAGAGGAGACCCGAGAGGCCATCCCTGGCCAGCTGGAGATTAGCAGACAAGGGTTATTTCAGAAAAGAGGTACACACGCACACACACTACCACCTGCCAAATGACACAGCTGCTTTCCCTGGCAACTTTTCTGCTAAGAAATTGTTTGTAGGCTCTGCCTGGCTACAACGTGCAAATAAACTTATGATGACAAACCAAACTCAGATCTAGTGACCTTTTACATTGCAAATAATGATTTTGTCCCCTCTTTTTCATCTTTAAACCCAAGCGGTTAGAATACACGTATTGTAACTCACTGGGTTGCTCTAGGGTGCAAAACCCTACAACTGATTTGTCCGAGGTGCTGGATTCCTACGACAGAAGTATTCCATTTTTTGGGTGACCAGACAGAATTTGCACAGAGAATACCTCCTACGTGGAAAAAAGTGGCTAGAACAGGTGCACAGATTCAGCCCCATTTGTACTGTTTTGGATTACCCACTACTTACAGTTAGATGCTAAGGGTCTTTTATACGCTGTCTCTCTGGCTCAGCTATGAGACAAAACCTTCATCATAAAGCTTGATAATCTTGAATGTTTTAAGAGCTTATTATATCAGTTTTTAGGTTACAACTCCTTTTTCTCCAAACTTGTGGATTTGCAGTTGCAAATAACCAACACTCAAACCATCTTCTGCAGGGGAGCCCTTGCTAGGAGTTCACAAAGCTGGATTCTGAAACAGTTTTAATGTTACTCTCTAAGCTCAATCAGCTCCTTCACAAAACGGAACATAATTATACAAAGAGAGAAGGCAGACTATGAGACAAACATGCAAGGCATTACCTCCTGGGGAAACCAGTACTCAGCTATACTCTCTCCTAACCAAATCCCACATAGTAGGCAGTGATCATCATCCCAGCACCGTTTGCTGGCAGAATGCAAAAAAAAAAAAAAAGGAGCCGCTACTCCAGGCAACATGTTCAAATCCAGGTCTTTGGCGTTAGAAGCAGGCAGTGCTTTGCTGGAGGACTACTGGGCTTTCAATATTCCCCTCTTCCTGGGCCTTTCTTTCTCTACTAGGTTAGGCGTTCAGGCATAAAAAAAATATATATTGTATGAGGAAACTGAGCCAGTGAGCTCCTCCTCTCTCTGAAGCAGTAGGACAGGCCACATGATCCCCGTGCTCAGAAATGCAGAACATGAAACAGCTGTTGAGCCTCAGGACTGGGGGGCAGGAAGTACAAGATGAATCCTGGGTGGGCCACAAGTGTCCTATGTGCTCTTCAAAAATTCAGCCTCTCCATCTTATTTTCGTTACTGTAAACAGATGCTACTTACCTTACTTCACAAGGTTGCCGAGAAGAGAGTTTTTACGAAGCAGGAGATTCTTTGGTAGAAAGCCGTGTAAAACCATAGCGCAATAGAGGGCTTCTTCTGGGGAGTGAAAACAGGGACTCAAAGGAGATTAGCTGATTTCTGTTTCCTGTGTTTTCACGTTACCTTCTTCCCTAACGGCCTGGAATACAGTGATGATACCACAAAGCAGCCAGACGTGACGGTACTGGCAAGATGCTTTGCTGAACAATTTGTTCTCGCTGATCTGCGTGGTGACATGAAATGACAAAACACTGCAGAATGTGACACGATCCATAACTCAGCCCACACTAAAACACAAATCTCAGTGTTTTAATACCGGGAGGTGCTAACAATTTCTTTTAGGCCAAAACTAGAGTCAGGTCGTAAGTCGTAATAATAGAGCTTAAATAGCGAGTGGTCCATAAGCCTAACAAAACAGCAGCACTGTCAAGTTTTCCCTCCCTGCTTTTAGTACTGAGAACAAGGAGACATTAAAATACCAAACAAGCTGATTAGTTAACATCTCAAATAAATCAACGGTTTATCAAATGGCAATAAGCCACAAAAGTTTACACTTGAAATTTCCACTGCATATTGATAAACCAGTCTTTTCAGACCTGTCCGGTTCCACTGCAAGCAGATTTCAATACCTATGAATATTATATGAGTTAATTATGGAGTTACGCTAAGGATTTCAATGAAGTTCAGCACATATTCCACTCTCAGTAACCTTTGCACAGGAAAGTAGCACCACAAACATCACCAGCGTTCAGCAAAGCGACCTCAGAAATGAGTCTCTTTATTTGAGTCAGGGAAGTCAGAATGACCGAATATTCAGATGACAGCTTTTGTGAGCAAATGCATTTTAGTGTGTCACATTTCATAGGGCTTAACCTTTGTCAGAAAAGAACAAATAAGGACATCAATTCATAGTTTTCCACGAGGAGCAAGAGAGGCCGACAAGCATTCTTGCAACTTAAAAGTGCATGAAGTATTTTGCAGCATCCTTCACACATAAGATACTCTGCCACAGGTATGACACCACACAAAATGCTAGACAGTGTTAAAATGTAAAGTACCTGAAAACATCTCCCTGAGGGAGATGAACACACTGAATACAGTGCAAGTCTTCACCAAATGCTTTTCTGTACAACATGTTTCTTAAGCCTCTACAACAATTTCTGGAGTATTCAAAATCGTGATAGAACAAGCATTTTTGAATTTCTGTACAATTATGTAGGCTCAGTAATTGCTTCTATAACATAAGCAAGATAATACCTATTATGCAGTGGTATTCATAGAGTCATGGTACAAAGCCTCATTCAGCCAAATGGATTCCAGTGCCTTTTTGTCCTAGGGTGGTAAGACGTTGGTTTTTAGCAAAAAAATACAGGGGGGTGGTGGACATGAATAATTTCAAAAAGTGGTCGAACCCTGATCTCTTGTCATCCTTGACTTCTCCAAAATTCAGATGCCAAGGACAAATTTATCAAAGACTGAAGCCATGTACAAATGTTGCAGCCACCAGCTGCATTTAGATGTGGGAAGTCTAGTGGACATAGCGTGTACTAAGCACCCATGGAAGAAATGGAGATTTCCAACACCCTTTCCACAAAAACAGAGAAAGAAGATTGGGACGATGGAAACTTCATTCATTTAACAAGTGAAACCTCTCATTATATATCATTTTCATGACCAAGCTTCTGAACTCTACATAAAGAGTTTATTTATGTAGGGGTGAGGGGAATTTTAAGTGTAAAAATCAAGATACCACCCTTGCAATGAGACACAGTTGGATTTTAAAAGCCACAAATGGTGCTTTTACAAGCCTTAGAGCATTTCCCAATTTAAGCAATGTTTTTTGTCTTAAAAAAAAAAGTGCAGGTGCTAAATGGTAGCATTCTCTAAAAAGGGAGTAATCCTCCCATTAGGACATTTATACTGGAAATAAGAAAGCAGTGCATTCAGAACAGGAAAAAAAAACACAGGATGTTCCCCTCTCACTTTATACACTGGGCTGATGTAGCCAAATTGAGACAGGGCAGTTTTCCTGGGGATGCTCTATTTTGGTAGGCACCTGATGCACAGACGTGGGGAGCTGCGAGCAGAAAGATGGATGTTGCTCATTTCTGTACTAAAAACCACAATGCACAGCTATTCTGTAGCTCTCCATTTCTGCTAGAAAGCAAGAGAAGGTGCAACTGTTCTGGTTACACGCAGTTATCTGGCTGGGGCTAACTGATCTGGACTGAGAACTACAAGTTAAACATAGCAAGTTACTGAGGATGCATCTTCCGCCTCCTCCTCCCCCCAGTAAAGAGTTAGACCATGACGTGTATTTGCTCTGATGCTGAGATGCTTCAGGACTGACTAGATTAAAGTGAAATCAGATCCATGTCTATTTATAACTAGCTACGTATTTTAAGCACACCATTAACTTATTTGCCACCAACATTTGTTGACTTGAAACAACATACATGGCACTTCTTTTGCGTTGTCTGCTAAAAGAGCATGTTCCGCAGAACGTATTTGCTCTCTAGTTTCAATGACATGACACAGATGTAAGTTTATTACAGCTATTTAAGAACGCTCGTCCGTCCAAATGAACTCGACATTCTCGCTCTTTGCTTTAGAAGGAAGTCCTTGCTGTACAGTGAACCAGCTAACAGGCTTCACAGCTGCTGCTCTGGGGCGTGAGGCTGGGGGATGGGAGACTGCGGAGGGAAGCAAGAAAGTCCTTAAAAGTCTGAGGCAACAGGGGAGTCACTCTTAGTTCAAGCTGTTCCTTCATTAAAATATTTTAAAAGTCTTACAAGTATGTTAGTCCTGTGTCTGGTGAGGTCTTTTCCTATTGAATGAGGTCCTGTTCGCAGAGGAGCGTCTCAAAAAAATGTCAGGTGCCGATACTGAAGGTATACAGTTTAGTTTCTCACGTCTGTAGACGGATCGACTGAGCCTCCTGCAGGTCACCGTGTACAGACAGACCAGAGCCACCTAAAACTACCTGAGAAGAACTTGATACAAAAGCAGCAATGCCAAACACAGAAAGATGAAATCAGAGGCCCAGTTCCTTGCTTGATGCGCACATGTGAGAAGGAAACGGCACGTGTAATTCTAGTAAATACCATATGCCTTCCTCAGACACTTGAGGTTCCCCGGCTTGTGCCAACAGCATTGGTTTTAGCTGCGTGTACATCCAAATTCCATGCGTGTTGAGTTTACTGGTTTTGGTGGAAAAGGGATCCCCCCTTGCAGATAATGCAGACCCAGAACAAACCACTGCTGCTCTGAGTACCACTACCGCACATACAGCATAGATTTCTTTTTAAGAGGAAGGAGCAGTAGGTAATATATTCTTAGAGATGTCTGTGTAATAATGAACACTGATCTACTGACATTATTAAATCTGCCTTGGGCAAGCTGTGTTTAGTGGGTACTTTCTTCATTGCCTTCAGATTCCCTGGGCCAATCTTCACTCTCCATTTCCTATAGTCCCTCGCATTAAAAGTGATTTCCAATCCATCAGCCCAATGGGATTCAGCCACTGTGAAAGCATAAGGGCACCTTCGACCTTAGTTTCCCTTTTGAAAAAGATTCTTTTAAACACAAAATTGGATTCAATTTCTCCTATCAATGGTGTGGTTACTCCTTCTTTCAGGAAAACTGGCTTGCAAACTGCTAAAGTGGCACAATAATCTCATCTACAAAGTGAGACACGCGAGTTCTGTTGGTGCTACAGTATTTCAGCCAGAGCAGCAGGACTCTGACGCTGGTGAAGATTTTTCAGAAATCTGTCTGGTATACCGCAAGACAGAAAAGAAAAGAACACTTTTTGTGGACACTACGTACTTAGGTTAAGCACGGAAAAGGCTGTTAGCTTGTTACACTAAACAATGAAGATATGCAAATGCTTGTGCTTTAGAGCACAAGTCTTGAAACAAAGTCAAATTTCTTCTTCAGTTTTAAAGGAGTAAAATTTGTCTATGAATTTGTATGTAGGCAAAAAAAATACAGCCCTTATCTGCAATAATAATTGTTTTCTAAGCAAACTGAACATAACGCAACAGTTCATTCAGAATCCAGAGCTATGTGCCTACTTAGATGCTTAAACTAAATATCAAGTTAACAAGTCATACTATTGTTGTTACACCAAAAGGGGAGCAATTACAGCTAGAGATAAACTCCAACATCCTTTTAACAAGAGCAATTAAGTAAACCTATACTGGCCTAAACGTTTCATTTGGTAAAATTACAGTAACGTAAATTACCATCTTTACTGACTACATTTCACAGGGCAAACTGTCCAGGTATCCACAGATGCAACCTTCCTATTTTCTCCTATGTGCCAATTCATTTCCCTCCCTGCCCACTACTTGGACATTATCAGCTAACTCAAACCATGAAAGGTACATATAGTGATGTACAATGCTGAAATTATTTCTGCCCAACAGCATTTGACTGGAATGATTTTCATGCACTACCATTCGATGCCTATAAATGGGCACTTGTGATTCTGCATATGATCTGTGGGTATCCTATCCGCAGCCTTCTCTCTTTATATCACCAGTAGTAACAGAGCTATTTACAAATGTAAACTATGCCATTAAAATGTAAAATAAATAGAATAGTATATACTACACTGTGTAGCAACTTCAGAATGAGGCAATAAAACCCAGGTGATTACATCTTCCACCATTAGGCAAATGATTTGTGTGTATGGTGCTGAAAAGTTCTGATGAAAGAAGGAAATCCTTGGCTCACTGTCCACCTTTTAAGATCTTCAATGATTTTCCTTCTTCACTCTGGATAATGACGCAAAAACTCCTTAAGCTTTGTTGGATAGTCTGTCATCACTCCTGTTGCTCCCAAATCAAATGCTCTCTTATATTCCTGTTCTTCATTCAGTACCCATATATACACCTACACACAAACACAGAATGGAGTGGTCATTAAGGAAGTCATCATTATTAATAGGAAACGTGGATAAATACGGAAGATTGTGGCCTAAATTATCTAAATAACTTGTTTGGGAGGGGGTGAGGGGGGAAGGAGGAAGCCAGGTGTTTCCTGGATACTTGCATCATGGTATCAAGATCATATATAAAAACAGATACCCGACTACAAATTTAGGGGGAAAGATTTTACCAACAAATGGCATAAAACCCCAACTTCTAATGGTCTTTGAAGGGATGTGTGCAACTGTTCAGATATCCCAAGTTAGCAAAACCATTAACTAATATGTAGAGATAATAAGGGGGGAAATAGGTTAGGAGATTTTACAGAAAACATTAGAAAAAATAACCACTTCAGATAAAAAGTGTTTTAAATTAAATGCTTCATCAAAAACGTCATTAATCCCATGCACTTCCGGAAATTCAAATCCTGAACAGCATGTGCTAATGGCTGACATTTAGAGAGCAAGTTTAAAGCAGCCTATGGATCTGACCAGGCTGCGAACCCCACAGTAATTCATAAGCTGCTCACCACAGACAGGCAAGCTAAAATGCAAACAATAGACAAGAAATAAAAAAAAAAAAAAGGGAAATTTAGGTAAATTCGGTGAATTTTTAAATGCATTTTATTTGGATAATCTAAAGTGCTATCGGCAACAGGGATGAGGAAGTGTATGCATTT